TTTCCTATTGACCCACATAACTTCTGTAGCCAGTTAAAATCCAAGAGCTAAGAAGAAACCCTCCTGCAATGGAAGCAAGCCACAGAGAGGCTTGCTTGAATTAGCATGCGCTCTTATGCAGCCTGAGGTCATCTGCAAATGCCAGGCTGGGAGAAACTGAGTCAGGAGAACTGATACATTTATTAATAGTCTATGAAGTGGTAACAAGGAGGCTGAACTATAAAGAAATGGATAAATATTGCACGTGGTGTTTACAAAACACCACTGCAGTTAAGTGTGGTGAAGTTGCACTATATTCTTAGAGCTATGAGAGCTGCTGGAGGCCCAGTCACATCATGCTCAGGACTGAAAGAGCCAGCCCCAAAGAACATACACTCTCATTTAATGACATGGATCTACGAACTGGCTTAGTGAAAATTAGGCTTCCCTTTTTACTACCGGAGTTTGCAAATTTCAGTTGTGTAGGCATCTGATCGATACCGTCCAGTCATGCACTTGAAAGCCACATGGGCTCTAAACTGCAATTAACTGCACATAGAAATTTGTGTTATGAGTGCCAGAAACCCATTGTATGTTGAGGAGGTCCAAGTAGTGCTGACCAGTTAGAGGATGATGGTGAAATCACATCCTTAGCTCAGACTGATCGTTGGGGAAGGCCACGCAGTATGAACCACTGCTCCTCGTCTAGAGAATCACATTCTTTGTTGTGTGAATAGAGTGAATCATACCAGCACTGAGATGCCCTGTCTGACCACAGCCTACTAAGCTGTGATGTACAAAGGTCTACATCTCAAGGGGACATCTCTCCCTGAATGAGGTAAAGTAGTTTGTATAGGAGCAAAGATTCCTGCATGGAAGAACTGCATAGGAAGACATCAAAGTGAGCCTTGAAGGAATAATCACATAGATGAAAGAATACACAAATTTTCTTTTAAAAACATTTGAAAAATCCTGCAGCAAAGTGATGTACAAGGATGTAAAAAGTGGTATGGAGAGAATTGTTTTATAGTGCTGAAGGCCTTACAGCATTTCAGCATCCTGGCTTTCATAGGAAAAGTACTGCCTTTGCACAATGCTGAGCTAGAAAAAGGTACAACTATGAGAGAGGACTACATGAGACAACTGTCAAAAACACCTCAGTTTCATATAGATAGATATATGCACACACATACATGGAGCAGCTGGATGGGTGGAACTAAGAGCTCAGCAACAGGATTAAGGTGGGAGACAAGTGTAGGCTAGTTCTCTGGGTGCTGGGCTACTGGTGGTGAATCATGACGTGCTAATCCTGCTTTGATACTGACTCATTGCATGGCTTTTGGCCAGTCACTTAACTTCTTTGGCTAAATCTACCTGGCTCTGAGGTGATGTTAGTGATACATTACCAAACTACCTCAAAGACAGGGTTTTTGAGCATTAGCTTGGATAGCACGCATAAAATTATTTGAACACAATGTATATCATTATACACCCACTACTTTATGGCTTTTTAGCTTGTTTTTGAACCTATTATTCCATAGATGCTAATCATACATATAGCAGAGCCACAAAGAATATCTCCCACTCCCGGATTTAGATTATGATGACTTTTATGGCTTTGTAAGAAAGGAAAAGAACAAAACTGTGTATATCAGTTCTGCCTAAAATACACAGAGCTGGTTAGAAACAGGGCCAGTTACAGGCAACAGAGATAGCCCCAAAGCTCATATTCTTTGGGGCCTACTTGTTCTGTAAGCTCAGTTTCCTACATGCAGCAAACGCTGGGTGATTCACTATAGCCTCCTCCCCAGGTTGCTTTGCCGTTCCTCTGGAGACCTTTCCAACAAGTGGGTACAAGCTCCAAGGCAGCACATGGAGTGGGTCACTGGAGCCTTATGAGGCAACGTCACAGGGAATGAGAAAAGTCAGTGATGCAAGACTGTATATGTTAATTCTCCACAAAGCCAATGTCCTGTCTTGGACATCTCTTTTCTCAGTATCTGAAATTTGGGACTCAGTAACAAAGCTCACAATCACACCAGAGTAAGCCCAAATTTGCCTACTGTGTTATATTTGCTATCTGGAGCACTTGGAAACTGAGGTTTTCAGGTACAGCAAAGGGTCTTCAATGCCAGATATTGATGTAAGTGTTACTGGTAGGACAGGCTTTCTGAGTTCATTAGATAGAATATCTCTGTGAGAGAGGTGCTCAGATCTTTTGTAAAACCTGCGTTTTGCCAGGTGGTGGTAGCCATGGGTAATTGTAACTAATTGCTTGCCCATGACCAGCTAGACTTGAGTCAGAATGAGCTGGTTTATAGCTATAAAAAGCTACAGATAACTCAGTGATTGCAGGGGATTTCTTGGAAATGTTTCCTGGGGTGTGAATCTGCAAAGGATCAATTGTCATGAAGGAAATTTTGGGTTTTAGCTTTATATAGGCCCTACACTGAAAGTGAACACTCAGCTGGGACAGCAGCATGTAGATGCGGAACTGGGGAAATCCTGGCTCCTCTTCCCTCTCGATTTCTAGCTGTGAGTATAGCTGAGCAGGAGTGGGTCTCCCAGCTACCAGAGTAGTGCAGAGAAAGGGAATAAATGTTCTTATAAGCCATTTTTGATAAGAGGTATTAGTTGTGTTTCCCTTGTGCTCTATCTACAGTGTTTAGAGCCACACATTTTCATCCTTATTTTGGGATACTTTGACTATGCCTATAGTGACATATCTCTTTCCAGATATGGGGAGGAGATAAATATCCTCTCTTTCGACCTTTCTCATGCTGCTCCTGAGTTAGCTGCAGGATTGGTGCTGCTTTCCTTCCCACTGATCAGAGCCCTGATGCTTCCTCCAAGCAGTCTCAGCTGCTGTCACTGCTGAGAAAAGGGACCAAATGTCAGTGTTCAACATTGATCCTTGGTAGATATTAGTGTTACTATGAATTTACCAGGCAGCCTGAGGAAAATACTTTTGGTGCAACTAAGTCAAAATGCATGAAGCCACAGACGGGTGTCCGCCTCCGGATCCTGCCATGCCTGGTGGGGATGTCCTGCCTGGAGCTGCTCCTTGCTGACCCCTCCTAGGGGTTATCACCCTCACCAGGGGTAGAACAGCAAATTAAACTGCTTAACTAACCCAGGCAATTTCAGCCTCAAACAGTCTTTGGCAGATCAATGTGGGGAGGGTAACATCTGCAAAAGAGAAGAGGAGGCCAGCAGCTTGTGTAGCCTCCTCTCCTAGCAAAGCCACCTCCATGGAAGAACATCTGGGGAGGCTCTGAGCCTGGGCAGATAACTGTTGCCAGCTCCCTGAGGGATGCTGGCACTTGCTTTAATAACATAACCTTGTTCTCTCTCATTGTTTAAATGTGTTCATTTATCGTATGAGGAGCTGGAGTATCAAGTATCAGTGCAGTCTGAAAACTAATGGCATTGTCTGACCAAGCATATTGGTGAAATCACTTTATAATAATGGCAAGTAAGCTATAGCAGTCTGTGCTTTAACCTACTGCTCTATAGTTTGCTTTAGAAACTGTAAATGCTAATGAAAGCTGCCTTTCAGAGGATGTTCCTTTACAGCGAGCATTGACAGTAGCAATAACAACTTCTTTTGCTTCCCTGCTATTGTGTTACAACTCAGACCTGAAGAACCAATATATTAGTGGAATAGCATGCAGGGCTGATTTTGGCCTATTGTTAGACTAAAGGCAGACAGACAGATTAGAAAGATAGGTACATATTCCTTCTCTTTCTGGTGTCGCTCCTCTGCTTCCTTCATCATTTCCTGAGACTGCTCCAACTTGGCATCCACCAGTTTCTGTTGAAGTTCTCTGTGCTTAAATATTTTATCAAGGTGCTGTAAGAGAATAAATTCTGCTGAATGTGCGGGTTCAATTATGTACACAGGCTTTCATGCTCACACATGTACAGCTATCTACTGGAACACTCATAAGACAAAAATATTGCAAAACAGTAAGACTCCCAACCTATTGCAGTTTCTAAAAAAACTACAGTGCTGACAAGAACTAACTGTGCCAGAATTTGCACAGGAAGAGAAACCTGTTTATGTTACTTATTTTGACTTACAATAGCAAAAACCCCCACCCATGGCACCTTTTCCAGTGCTGGGACCTGCAGTTTACATATGAAATCATCAGTATAATCCAGGATAATCTAAGCTCAAATAATTGCTCATCAGTGATAAATTGGCAGGACACACACTTTTCGGAGCCTCTTAAGTGGCCAGCAGACCTAAGCCACTGTGCAGATAAACGTGTGAAAAGACATACTGCGCCTGCATCTGCAGTACTTGGGACTATGTGTGCAGCTCATACCGTCCTCTCTATAGATACATGCCCAATTCGTCCCATTTGCTCTGGCCTCACACCCCGAATGGAGGCCTGGAGTGTCTGGGTGGAATTATGTGACTGGTGATGAGCAGGACATCAGGCCTGAGGAACTGGGGGGGTCTCTTTTGCCCTGTAAAGCATCTGGCTCCATAGTGACCTTCCTGAAGTGAGTGTTGCTGATGGCCCTCCTCACTTTTGCTGCATTTGGATAAAATTCACAGTAGTAACTATTCTGAGCACATCCCTTTGCTTTATACTTTTCTTCAGATAGAAAGCACAAGATAGGAATGCCCATTTTCTTCCTGCAGCATAAGATTTTATACATGAGGTAACAGATTTGGAAATGAGTGTACCGGACATTCCAGATTGTAAGGACAGATTACTTATGTTTTATTCAGTAGGATAATGTTGTCTGGTTGTACTGAGACTCGCAATAAATGTATTTATAAACAAGAAAAAGACCCACTGTGATATTTGCTAGGGTTTGCCATGAAATTAAAACAAAAAAAATCCGGTAGTTTGAGGTTTTACTGGAGGATTTTGCGTGTCAAAATTCTCTGACCAGCTCTAATGTTTATAGGAAGAATAATTTTCCATCTGTCTGTTATCTGCTAGTTTGTATGGTGAACATTTGGCCTGCAAAAAAGACTCTATTCAGATGCAGGGGGCCTCCTTTATCCTTGTTATTAATTTTCTGCTTCTAGGGAAGAGTCGAAGCATTTGCATCAGATCAGGGCTTCTCAGCAACCCATGTGTGAGGAGCTGAGAGCTGTGCTCTGCCCTGCATCTGCGCTGGGGGCCCCATCTGCACCCCCAGGCTGCGGCCCCGGGGTGGGCAAGGGCCCAGAGGGAGAGGCCTGGGCACAGGGGACAAGGGCCGTGAGTGGCACCCCACGTGCCTCAGCTCCACTCCCCAGCACTGAGAAAGTCGTCGCCTGCCAGGCCGAACCCCTCTCTGCCAGTTTTTGCTGTGCTGAGTCCCCTTGACTTGCTTCTAGCGCGCTCCAGATCAGACCACAAAGTGCTGTTCAGGTTACCCACTTTACCGCCACGAAATAGGGAAACGGTAGCAAATGGGGAGGGCAGGATGGTGCTATATGGGCCCTCTTCCCTGGCAAAGCTGCTTTCCCGCTCTGCCTTTTTGGGAAGGCTGCGTGTTTTTCTCACCTCTTCCCTGAGTTCGTACTGATCAATGATGCTTTTCAGTTTCTCCGCCAGCTCCGTGTTTTCCTGGCACAGCTTCATGTTCCTTTCACTTTGCTGTTCAATCTGAGCCTGGATTTCACTAAGTGTGCCCTGGAAATGATTAGTTATTTCTTTCCTCTTCTCATCTTCCTCTCGTGCTCGTTGAATCATTTCTTCCTGTTGTTTAAATTGTAGAGAGTGCAGAAATATAAGTAAGATGCATAATAAGCAGTTCCAAAAAGATAGAGTTTCAGAGTACTGTAAGGGCTCTCTTTGAAGGATTATACATGTTTGCTTTCCTGTTCGGAGGTTTTCTTTCTTTCTTGTACTCCAGCGTTAGGCAGGATTCTAAATTTACGAACAAATCACACAGTAGTCTTGAAAAAATTAGGGAACTGAGAATTCACATTTATAAAGATGGATGTAGAGCAGAGTACTCAGATCAGAGCAAACTTGGAAAAGAGGGCATTCATGCATGTCTTGACTCCTGATACTGCAGCAAGTTTTTACTTTGGAAGAAGATATTTAGCAGAAGTAGTCAAAGGTTTTTTATCAAAACTCTTGTTGATTGAATTAAAAAGTCACCCTTTAAAAATGCCTCCTGTTAACTAGAAATCCTCATAACAAATTTATGGTCTTTGGGATTTCAATTTTTAGGAGAAATTCATTGCTTTCTATAGAATCCCTCTCAATTCCTCAGTTTTCCTTCCCTACTATTTTCTAACTGGCACTAAGATTTGGACTAATTTAGTAGGTGGTAGAATCAAGGAAAAATTGTAGGCCATTTCTTAAAGAGTCATGACAGCGAATCAGATTTTTGCCTGGAGAAAGATTGGTGGGTTAATTTTTTTACCAATTAGTGAAATTCTGGTTTGGATTTTTTAATATAAAAGAGAATGCAGGAGGAATCTGAATTCATAGCTTTTGCTCAAGAAATATGGACTATTTTTATCTCCTACTTGGTTGTTTCCAGGGCAGTTTCTCCTTCTGGGGAGGGTAATCTGTATATACAATGGTTAGTACCGTAGCTCCTGTAGTTGCAAATCATGCCAGAACCACATTGAGAAAACACTCTGTAGTATGTATGTGGCATACTTTAATAAGGTTTCAGCTACCATCATAGTAATTTAAACAAAAATCTCTGATAACACTGCAGATGGATATTTTCTATAAATATATTTGAATAAAGCCTTAGCTGACTCTAATGAAGCATAATTTATATCGCAAACGTGAGGTAAAAGGTATTGATTCAGGTCCTACTTTTGAAGTAATATGAATGCTAAATGAGCCAGTTTCCACTTAGCATGCAAAACACAAGACTGATCCTGAACAACTGCTGTTCAAAGTAGAGGACATTTGTCCTTTTGCTGAACTGGAAGTGATAGAGATGACAATGTCATAGATGACAGGAGGAAAGCTATTGGAACTCCTGGTGCTAATAATAATAGTAGTGCACAGAAATCACTCTGAAACCTTGCTGTGCTCTGCATTTTGCACAAGAACATGTGTGCACATTTGCAAATACAGTGAAGTAAAGTATGAGCCCAGAAGGACTTTCCCTCTTAAGAGGAAGAAAGCATTACAGCTGGAGCTGGGCAAGTGATTTGGAGTGTTCTTGTTTGATACTTGGGAAAACTGGATGCACAAAAAATATGGATCAAGATGAAAGGGAAACTCCCCAAGTTTTTGGCAACAAATGTTAAGAATAGTTTTGAATTAGCCTGAAACATGTTGCTTCACCAGAAATTAAGCTGTGTCCTGTTTCTAATACTTTTTGTTTATCTCTTTAGGGCAATTTTGAAACATAAATGCCGTTCCAAAATAGAATTTAAAATGCTAATTAGAAGATGTCTTACATCAGCTGTTTTAGCATTCCCAAAATGAAACATTTCCTTGTCTTTTGAAAGAGAATATTTACAAAACAATTTTCTCCTTTTTATTTCTGCTTGAAACTTTGCCAAATTTAACTTGAATTCTTAGATAGTTTTGCTCTAGTCAGGACTCCATTTTCCTGCTGCTATATTGTTTAAAACACTACTCATTTCTTTTTGTCCTCCATTGTATAGATGTATGACTTGCACAGGCAGAAGAGTGGCCAGGTTCTTTCACTTCAAGAAGTCGAAGACAGAGTAGGAAATTAAACTTACGTGTTTGGAGTTCTATTCTAGGGCTTTAAAACACCCTTCCTCAAAAACACGTTATTATTTCAATGCACCAAACAGTGTTATACAACTGTGACACTACTGTGATTTAAAGCTCACTGGAGTAACGAATCCAGCTGAGTATAGAATAAAAAATCTCTGTATATTGCCTGTAAGTCACACCAGTTTTGTTACAAGGTGAAATGAGACATCCTACGAGTAGCAATCATTTTTAAAAAAAATAGCGCATGTATTAACACACAGGCCCTTACCTCCTGCTCATTTTTTCTTCAGAAGAGGAATAATTATATTGAGCACAAAGAGAATAAAAAAAGTCATGGTTAAAGATGCTGAAAGACACGAAGCATTTTGTTGCAGGGCACAGTTCTCTTCTCCTTAGGAGGAAAAGCCAGAGCCTATTTGCCTGGGGGGAGGGGGAGGCCTGGGGAGTGCCCTAGAGAGCTCCTCACAATCTCTCATAGAAGAGCAGCAATTTCTTAAATCCTTGAGATCGCAGTTATGACTTAAGGGTGGGTGTGGATGAGAGGAGCTGACAGAGAGGAAAAGCAGCTATGTGTCTACGGCACTGTGCAGGGACCTGCACTTGTTGCCTCTTCACTGGGCCAAGGAGAGCAGCTCTCACAGAATCACAGAACGGCTGAGGTTGGAAGGGACCTCTGGAGATCATCTAGTCCAACCCCCCTGCTCAAGCACGGTCCTCTAGAGCACATTGCACAGGATCATGTCCAGGTGGCTTTTGAACTTCTCCAAGGAAGCGTCATATCCTGCTATGATACTGACGTCACTCTCCTGTGTTTCACTGCTAAAAATATAAAAATGCATCGAATAAAACCTTGTTAAATTATGACAAGGATATTTTACAGTCTGGGATTTATCACTGGAATGCAAAATAATTTGCAAATAGAAAGGCAGGATTATCTCTGGTCCTGATGCCTCTCTGAAGCAAATCAAGAAAACTTTTAGTCTGCTGAAGTCATATTGGCAGAGGTGATACGTGTGCAGACTCTACATTTTCAGTGAACCATTCTCTCCAGTCCCAGGCAGTGTGGTTTGAGCCTCAGTTCTGCAATTTGGAGCTGAGCCCATAATCAAAGCTACTGATGCTTGTGGCATTTGTATGAAAGTCTTTCACTGCTTAATGTCTGGTAGCAGGAAGGACAAGGGACTGAGAGAGTCATGTCACTGCATGATACTAAGTAGCCACCAAACTGTCAGACAGCTGGCAAAATGTGAACACGATATAGCGAAATGAGTTGCTATTGATATTAGCAGAGTTATTCTGTATTGCAGTGGGAATACATTCTGTTATTTCAAGAACTTTTATTCTGCTTTTCTTGGAGAGAGAATCAAACATCTGTTTTCTGCTGTGAAGTGTAACTGCAAGGAAATAATCTGAATGGCTGGACTGTAAGTAAGTAAAATTTTGAGGCCAGCATCCAATATTAACCAGAATTTTCTTCTCTGGTCGGCACTCTGGATTTTCAGTGCAGCTTTGCATTGCATATTCATCACCACTTGGCTGCACCGATCTCCAGTTAATGGGAATTCCACGCACTAAATGAGTGAAGATGACATTTACATGACGTGATGTGCATATAATGTACCACATGGCAAGTCCAAGGAGATTTGTAATCTAGATAGGCAGATTTCTCCTTTGCTATTGAAATGACACAATCTCCTACAGGTTTTATTTTCCATGCTTTGTAAAAGTGCTAATCCTAAGTGCTAAAAAATTATGAGTCAGCTTCTTTGTCCTGCCAAAAACAAAATAAAAATGACTTAAGCATGAAATTTTAAAAATAACACATGTGGATTCTCCTGTTTTGAGGTGTCCCAGTACAGTCATAAGCAAAAGAAAATTACACTTATTTAAATGAACAGAAGATGAGATTCTGAAGATTCACAGATGTCTAGAAGCGAAAGCTTAAAGGCAGATATTCCAAGAACCGTGCTACAATTGTGAGAGAGACAAAGCTGGACAAAGATGTCAAATGCCTTTGTTTATTATTTTTAATGTTTATTATTAATTTTGCTTCCTTTTGCTGAAAGCACAAGAATCAGAGAAAGGCTAAATATTCTGTGTCTCTTAAAAGGTCTCCAGCTTCTAAGAAAGAAACCTTTCTTCCCGTTAAAAGATCGGTTCAGGTTCCTTTCCTGGTACGCAGTACCCAGCTTAAGAGTGTAACTATCTTTTATCTGCTCACCTGGCATAGCGAAGGGGGAAAAAACAGAACTGAATCTGAAATTGATAGAAAAGATGTATTTAGGTGACCTAATCACAGAGTGAAACAGTCTGACAAATGGAAAGATGTTGGAAAAAGACTTGCCTAAATGTAAAGATTAAATGTGTAATGAACTATCTCAATGCAAAGACAAAGGAAAAATGATGTTGCCTAATAGTGAGATTAATAAGCATACAATTGCTGGGAGACGGTGTAAGGCATTCAATGAAAACTATTAGTTCTTCTCTATATCCTCATTTCTTCAGATGCAGTTTAGGGCATATGATTTACTTGTTTTTAAAAAATCTCATTTAAGTTCCTGTGAAGCACTGAACTCTTAAATCACTTGAAAACACTTTGTATTTCTGGTGAGAGCTTTTGCCCAAAGATGGTCCAGCCAATCAGTGCGGATCAATACTGAAGTGTAGCTCAATTTGCACCAGGTTTGGTACAAATGACAGGCACAAATTCAATTGACACAACCAATTCTGAGCTACTGTAACTGGCCACACAGAGATTTGCTTCTAGCTTTCCTAAGTATCTGCTAAACTGCTTTTGTCCTATTAGTGCAAGGTCTGTGTTTAGACATGTCTATTCCCTCTCACAGCTGTAATCTTAGCAGGATAGAAGGAAATTTAGAGCTAAACTCTGAAGACCAACTCCAGAGCTGGTGGAAGTGAAAGAAAATCTGTTGCAGTTAATGGAGGTTAAATCAGGTGAGATTCTTGCTTCTGAGAATTCATATATGTAATTCTATACATTGCTATATCCTCCTAAAGAAAGATTTTGAATAGATCAAATCAGATGCTTTTTGTATAATAATAATAATATCCTCATTAACTTGTACTCAGAAAAGGAAGATCACACCAGAAATATATTTCTAGAACCTATAACTTTTCAAAAAGCATAATCATATTATAAATTTCACATTTAAACGGCATGATGCACCAAGGAATCAGGAGACATGGCATAGATCTCAGCCCTTTGACACTCCTGAAAATTCCCTTTTCAAACTGATATTCACAGTCCAGACAACTTCTGCTAACTGGCAGCATCCTTCCTGGCTTGAGGCTTGATGTCTTGAAGCAAATATCTTGCCTGATTAACTCTCACAGATCGTTTGCAAATGCCCAAGTGCTCAAATTGTATGAAAAAAACCCACCAGCCTCCTTGAATCCTTTACAGCAAATCACTAGATTTGCTCGTATTTTGTTCATATTTTATTTTCATTTGTTCATATTTTATTCTGGCGAAGCACACGTATTCACATGTACAGTCCCAGAGATCTCAGAAGATAAGTACTGGAAAATCTAGCTGCTATGTCTTAAAAAATGAATTTCCCCAGCTGTCTGCTCCACCCCACTGCCCCAGTTTGCGATTCCCACAGCAGTCAGCGCAAGGGAGCATGTGCCTGTGCCCCCTGTGCCCCCTGTGCCCCAGCCTCTCCGGTTTTCAGTCCTGTGCCTTAGCTTAAAGTGTTGATAAAGACAGGCTCAAGCCAGACTGTGAGTGAGAGGTGTACTTCTCACAGCCAAGCCTGACACACAGTAGTAATCTCTAGCAAAAGGGAGATGGGGATTTACCAAAGCAAATTCTCCAGTACTGGTCTGTTATTACTACTGATTTTTTTGCGCTAAGCTCCCTGATAACACAGGAAGGACTTACAGCTCATGCAGGTGAACCCAACGCTCAAAAGCGGTTAGATATTTCCAAAGAAGGAATTAAGGGGCCTTGGTGCAAACAGGCCTGAAGACTAGACTGAAGACTGAATACTATATATAATTACATATAGTATGTGCAAATGTAAATGTTCCTTTCGATTTGATATTCAAGCAACATGGTGAAGTACCAGTGCCTTCCCTCAAACTGCTGGGCACCTTGAGAAGGCCACTACTAACCTTGAGGGTTTTGTTGTGTCTCTGGAGCTCCCGGCACAGGCTCTCGAGCTTGCTGCGGGCAAGGATGGCTCGGCTGTGCTCGCTCTGCAGCTGGTCCTTCTCTTTGATGACCTGTGCCTGTCTCTTCTGCAGGTACTTGAGCTTTTTCTGTTCAGCACGATGTTCTTCAAGCTAGGGATTAAAATAAAACAAAGAGGAAAACGAAAGAAAAGAAAATGAGCTCTTTGGTTTCAGAAAAGCCTCATGCTTTCTTAACCTCTTAGGAAATGTTTTATATTTATCAGCACTAGTGACTTGGAGGAAAGTCACAACCCTGCTTGCTATGAGTCCCACGCATGCTGTAGTGAGAGCGGGTGAAGGTAATTTTTAATACTCTTGTTATCTCATTTCAGCCTTCTCTTCTTCAGCTTGTGAGAAATGAATTTATTTTGAAGGGTACCACTTTGTTTTTATGTTTTTTAATGTTTAGAGCTAGAGCAGTAGGTAGAGCTTTATGCAGTGAAATTTCTGCAGACCGTGACATAACCCAACATCTATTCATTTGGTTTTGTGGCTTCATGAAAAATAATTCCCCAGACTTCCTAGATGCCCAGGAAGCTTCTGAAAACAACAACAACAACAAAGGCACCAAAGACCAGAAACATAGCCTTTCCAAGAACTTTGCTGCCGTCAGAGACAGAATGCTCTTCCAAAGGGCTGTTCCCCTAAAAAAGGTGTGGGCACCTTGTCTTCGCCTGGCTCCTTTTGCCCTGGGAAGCACGCAGGGCTCATAGTTGTGTTTCTGAAGGCTTTTGTCATGTCTGGTGGTTGGTTACGTGAATCAAGAGTCTTTCAGGCTCTAGGCTGTATGAAACTTCTGAAGAAAGTATGGACGGGCCATGCAGTTTACTTGGGAACTTGTTATTTCTGTGGCTGCATAGCTCTGGTTCCCTAAAGAGATGGCAGGGTGTGTGTATTTGTGTGGGGAGATATAGAGGAGGAGCAACAGAATTGCTAATAGCAGCCCCACAGAAGACTGGTTGCTTCTTCTGACACATGCCTGTTATTGGCTATTTTGAAAAATCTGGTGCACCGCAAATGAATACAAGAACAGAAATACCCAGAAGCTTTTCTCCTCTGAAGCTTTTAAATGTTTCTTTTTCTTCCATTCCAACCCGCAGTAGGCCTCCTCTCTGTATTACAGGTGTACATATAAGTTGTAAAACATTTCTAAAGACCAGATATATTCTAGTTATTGATGGCTGCAATATGCAAACTCTAATAATAATGTTATTATTAGCATTACATCATATAATAATATGGTGTAATTAGTATTAATTATTACCTAGAGTATGACTGGGAAAGTTTGTGAGTGCAGGTGAATGATATACAGCTCAAACAGGAAGACAGTTATGAGGAATAATGTTTTACACTTTCTCCGCTTGAGGTTCTGTTTTCTGCAGATGTTCTGTAATTTATGCCTACAGTACAGAGCTCTGTGTATTATGAATCAAATCATAGCTAATCATACTACAAAGCAATGCTATCACCAGCTTGAAGTATATTTGCAGTTTATGCTCAACTTTCAGCATGTGTATTGTTGTGTGGTTTTACCCCGGTAGATAGAATAGGAGCTTTTACATCTAATCAAGCTGCACTA